TCAAGCTATTGCAAGAGCTTCCTCTGGGGAGTAAGTGATTATAGCAATCCCCAGAGTATAGGTCTCCCTTCCCAGCAGCAGCACAACACAAATCCATTATGCCCAAATCATGTCTTTAAAGGGCAATACATCCCAGGGGCCATAGTCACAGGGCAAGAGGCAGGCAAGCAGTCCTCTCCCGGCACAAGTGGCGAAGGGCACTTCGTCACACATCTTCCCTTTGGGGGGAAGACTAAACAGGTACCTGACCTTCTGCCGGTCAGTACCTAGATTAGTCTGGCAGCCCACCCACAAAGAAAAATACGCAGAGTAACCCCCCCACAATAAATGGTACTGGCCTGTAGGTTCAAGTTTGTAGTGGGACAGCGCAGCACTCTCGGTCGCCCTGGTGCAGCTAGGCAAACTGCTGGTGTTGCTTGGGGGGCAGAGGCCAGCGGTGCTCTGCCCTGCTGCCAGCTCTTCCACTGGGGTAACCCGTGGTAAGTCAGGCTCTGATACCGGGGAAAAGGGGGGGCAGAGGCTAACAGAGCTGTGCCCAGATGCCAGCTCTTCTGCTGGGAGGGGGTCAGTGGGTATCGCAGGCTCATCCACTGCCCCCTGGACCCAGTTGGGATGTAGCTGGGGAGGGGAAGTTTCGCTTACCTCCTCCTCCTGGCATCCCTGCGGGGTTGGTTGGGGATCTGGACCGCCCGTCCAGCCTCCCTGTAGGACTGGCACAGAGACCGCGGTCCCATCTGCGCCAGTGTGGTTAGGTTTGTCTTCCCCCTCTCCCGGTATCTCTGGCTGCTGTTGGAGGGGGAGGCTGGTTGCCCCCACTCCCCAGGACGCTGGTTGCTGTAAGGTGGAGGGATCGACCATCACCTCCTCCTGGAACTCAGGCCGCCGCTGGGGAGAGAGACCAGTTGTCTTCTCTCCCTGTATATTATACTGCCGTTGGGGACCTGGGCTGACTGCCCAGCATCCCTGTAGGGCCGGCAGAGAGACTTCGGTCCCATCTCCGCTTGCCATCTCTCTGTGTCCCCAGGAAAAGTCTATGAGGTCGCCCACCTCCGGCTGCTGTTGGAGAGGGAGGCCACCTCCTCCTGGAACTCAGGCCGCCGCTGGGGAGAGAGACTGGTTGTCTCTTCCCTCTGTACGGTGCACTGCCGCTGGGATGGGAGGTCGCTGCTCTCCTCTCCCTGTAACTCACTCTGTCGCTGGAGACGGGGTGTCAATACCCCCAAACTCCACAGTTGGTACTCGAAGTTCCGTGCGTCTTGGTTCTCAGCACTCAACATGTGCATCACTTGATGGACCACCTCATCTGAAGGGTTTGGGCCAAACCAGACCAGCCGCGCCTTTACTTCCTTCATGAAATCAGCACCCTCATAGCACTGTGACAGGCGGATTTGCAATTCACTGGCTGCTGTCCAAGGTCTTGCTAGCTCCATGTTGCTGTAGGTAGGGACGCTGCGCAGAGGCTAGCGTTGCCCTCAATTATAAATCCGTAACTCCACACGTTACCGGTGTCTCTGAGCTGCTGGACTCCAAGCACTCCAACCGACACCATCAGCACTGCAGACCCCACTTCCAGCGATGCAACTGCGCCGGGGTCTCTGCTGTTTCCACCCACCCTGGACCCAAGGCCAGGATCCAGCTTCCAGTGGGTGAACCTCTCTTTCCCCAGATAGCAGGAACAGGAGCAAATCAAGCTATTGCAAGAGCTTCCTCTGGGGAGTAAGTGATTATAGCAATTATACAGTGCTAGATGGTTCTTAAAGGGCCAGCAGCAGCACAACACAAATCCATTATGCCCAAATCATGTCTTTAAAGGGCAATACATCCCAGGGGCCATAGTCACAGGGCAAGAGGCGGGCAAGCAGTCCTCTCCAGGCACAAGTGGCGAAGGGCACTTCGTCACACATCTTGCCTTTGGGGGGAAGACTAAACAGGTACCTGACCTTCTGCCGGTCAGTACCTAGATTAGTCGGGCAGCCCACCCACAAAGAAAAATACGCAGAGTAACCCCCCCACAATAAATGGTACTGGTCTGTAGGTTCAAGTTTGTAGTGGGACAGCGCAGCACTCTCGGTCTCCCTGGTGCAGCTAGGCAAACTGCTGGTGTTGCTTGGGGGGCAGAGGCCAGCGGCGCTCTGCCCTGCTGCCAGCTCTTCCACTGGGGTAACCCGCGGTAAGTCAGGCTCTGATACAGGGGAAAAGGGGGGGCAGAGGCTAACAGAGCTCTGCCCAGATGCCAGCTCTTCTGCTGGGAGGGGGTCAGTGGGTATCGCAGGCTCATCCACTCCCCCCAGGACCCAGTTGGGATGTAGCTGGGGAGCGGAAGTTTCGCTTACCTCCTCCTCCTGGCATCCCTGCGGGGTTGGTTGGGGATCTGGACCGTCCGTCCAGCCTCCCTGTAGGACTGGCACAGAGACCGCGGTCCCATCTGCGCCAGGTGGTTAGGTTTGTCTTCCCCCTCTCCCGGTATCTCTGGCTGCTGTTGGAGGGGGAGGCTGGTTGCCCCCACACCCCAGGACGCTGGTTGCTGTAAGGTGGAGGGATCGATCATCACCTCCTCCTGGAACTCAGGCCGCCGCTGGGGAGAGAGACCAGTTGTCTCCTCTCCCTGTATATTATACTGCCGCTGGGGACCTGGGCTGACTGCCCAGCATCCCTGTTGGGCTGGCAGAGAGACTTCGGTCCCATCTCCGCTTGCCATCTCTCTGTGTCCCCAGGACAAGTCTATGAGGTCGCCCACCTCCGGCTGCTGTTGGAGAGGGACGCCGGTTGCCTCCCCTCCCCAGGACGCTGGTTGCTGTACGGGGGAGGGATCTACCATCACCTCCTCCTGGAACTCAGGCCGCTGCTGGGGAGAGAGACCGGTTGTCTCTTCCCTCTGTACGGTGCACTGCCGCTGGGAAGGGAGGTCGCTGCTCTCCTCTCCTTGTAACTCACTCTGTCGCTGGAGACGGGGTGTCAATACCCCCAAACTCCACAGTTGGTACTCGTAGTTCCGTGCGTCTTGGTTCTCAGCACTCAACATGGCGCATCACTTGATGGACCACCTCATCTGAAGGGTTTGGGCCAAACCAGACCAGCCGCGCCTTTACTTCCTTCATGAAATCAGCACCCTCATAGCACTGTGACAGGCGGATTTGCGATTCACTGGCTGCTGTCCAGGGTCTTGCTAGCTCCATGTTGCTGTAGGTAGGGACGCTGCGCAGAGGCTAGCGTTGCCCTCAATTATAAATCCGTAACTCCAAGGTTACCGGTGTCTCCGAGCTGCTGGTCCTCGCACTAGGACGCCATCCCGCCGCTGCCACCAAATGTGACGGAACGCTGGCACTCCGACTGAGTACCTCCGCCAATCGATGCTCCTAGTGCTCGCTGAGGACTCCAAGCACTCCAACCGACACCATCAGCACTGCAGACCCCACTTCCAGCGATGCAACTGCGCCGGGGCCTCTGCTGTTTCCACCCACCCTGGACCCAAGGCCAGGATCCAGCTTCCAGTGGGTGAACCTCTCTTTTCCCCAGAGAGCAGGAACAGGAACAAATCAAGCTATTGCAAGAGCTTCCTCTGGGGAGTAAGTGATTATAGCAATCCCCAGAGTGTAGGTATCCCTTCCCCCAAACATGAGCCAAGGTTTAATGCTGGAACAAGACTGATTTACTGGCACACAGAACTCACAATTTATGCAACACAAAACTCCTCCTCTGGGCCAGGCTAGATAATTGAGTTGCTACAATACACAAAGCTCAATTATCTGCTGGCCAGATATAATACAGTTTCATAAAACACACAGGGACCCCAAAACATGCAATAACCCCATAAAACCGGGGGATCTGGGTGAACCACATATCCAAAATTCACCCAGATCCGTTCAGTACTTTGGAAAATACCGTTTAATGCAGATTCTGCAGAACATATACAGGCTAAATAAAAAACAATCACTGTATAATGTGTCCCCTGCTGTATAGTCCAAAACCACCGCACGATGTCTCTGTGCAACAAATACTGGCGAGATGGCACCGTGTTGAAAAGTTCAAACAGTGTCTGTGAGTTAAAATGGTCGCCATCCATTGTTCTCACCATGTGCTTCTGATACAGGAAATGGTGGCCACCCAGTAACTCCACAGTATGTCCCCAGATGGTTCTTAAAGGGCCAGCAGCAGCACAACACAAATCCATAATGCCCAAATCATGTCTTTAAAGGGCAATACATCCCAGGGGCCATAGTCACAGGGCAAGAGGCGGGCAAGCAGTCCTCTCCAGGCACAAGTGGCGAAGGGCACTTCGTCACAAGGGATATTCAGAAATTACTTTGATTATTTGTTCTTGCAAAATGTTTGAGATCCTTTTTTTAATTTTTTTTATTTTATTTATTTTTTGCTATATTCTGTAACTGGCTCATGTTTGGTTAGTAGTTTCAGTTTTCATTTGAGTTTTGATTCATATCTAAGTAGAAAAATTCCATTAACTGTATTGTGTCATGCTTCTGAGGTTATTGTGCCAAAGTGGCAAAATGATCCATTTGTTGACCAAGCATTTAGGACCAAGGAGTGTTAAAAAAAAAAATCCTCCCTTCCCCCACATCTTTCATAATACCCACAATGCCAATACAACTTAAATGCACATCCATAAACGCTAAGGGCCTCAACTCACCCACAAAAAAAGACACACACAGACATTCTCATGTTACAAGAAACAAACTTCACAGCACACAAACCTTTCCCACTTACCAACCGCTAATATAAACAGAGCTATCTAGCGAACTCACCAGACACAAAGACCAAGGGTTTGGCAATCATCCTTAAGTCATCCTTCAAACTGACGGAGATAACCATGACCGCAGACCCTTAAGGCAGGTTTGTAACAATAACTGGTAAAAAAGGATCCAGCTGTTACTCTTTTTGCTCTCTCTACATGTCTACCTCCCTGGAGCCCACTTTCTGGCAACAGTTCTCCACACACCTCGCTACTCTACACAACACCTACCTTATCATAGGAGGGGACTGCAATGCAGTCCCCTCCACAATACAAGACAGGTCCTCCCACGCACAAAGCTCAACAAGACCCACAATATGCGATACCCTGTTCCAACAATTCCTCTCCTCGCAAAACCTCATTGACATACGGAGAGCACAACCTGCATCCTCCAAAGATTATACATTTTATTCACAGCCCCATAAATCATATTCCCGAATCGACCAGTTTACTAGTGACCCTCAATGCCCTATCTCAAGTCACTACCACCGGCGTAGGTGTGATTTCCTGGTTGGACCACACCGATATCTCGCTAACGCTACAAGTACACAACCTCATCCGGCCCTGGACCTGGAAATTAAACCCCCTGCTCCTACATGACATTGACATAACCGAATCAATAGCCAAAGACCTCACAGACTATTTTGAACTAAATGCCTCCATCCCTGATCACACTCTGTGCCACCCATAAGATGGTAATCCGCTGAAAACTGATCAGCCTGGCAACTGCCATGAAAAATTTACAACAGATACAACAGATGCCATGTGGTAATACACTGCATGGAATCACAGCACAAACCAGCCCCTAACCCAGCCATATTCACCCAACTATCTGCGGCTAGAGATCACTTAAAAGATTAACCCAAGAAGATACAGCCAATGCCCTCATCTGGCTAAAACAGAAATATTATGAAAAAAGCAACATAGCCAACTGTAACGGCACCCCAGGCATAAAAGGGGTTAAAAGCCGTTTAGTAGATCTTCCCTTCCAGAGACACAGGCACAGCTACTGTAGAACACCAAACTCCCGAACTGGATACAAGGGAATGCTCCAAACTCCCGAACTGCATACAAAGTAGCACTCCAAACACCCGAACTGGAACCTCACGAATAGCTGCTATCAGACGAACAGGAAAAGCACCCAAGCGGCTTACACTCCTGGCAATCAGTCTCTAACAGCATGCAGTAAATCCCCCAAAGACGAGACAGAGCTCCGTGTTGAGGGTCAAGCAGTGATCTGGTTTATTGAGGGCTACCTGCTTATTTATGCAGGTCTTCCACCTGGTGGACACTCCCCTAGGGGACCAGATGGAAGACTGGGACACAAATGGTAAAATGACCAATCACAGGCATACAGGGTTAAATCACTCCCACAGTACATTACAATCCCTCCCCTCTATCCTAGAGATAATTGGGAAGTAATCCAATTATCTCCAAGGACAGAGGCGAAACTCCATTAACCACATGGTTACAATAAAACACTAAAATACAATAAAATACATAATGTTACATTTGTCACATAAAATATATACATGTAACCCATCCCCAGATAGCTGGGATCTGAGCGCACAAAAGTACCGAATAGCGCTCAGATCCTATGCACACAGTCCAATCAACGTGGAGTCAAAGTGTTCACAAAGTCTGTTCTCCATACGAATAGACTCCACGGGATGGCTATCTGGAGTATTGCTGTTCATACAGTTAAACTACCGAATGAGCAGGCATCCGGTTAAATGACCGAATGCAGAGGCAAGGAGGCTGACGGCTCAGCGGTGTTCGCGCAAATAAGTGTCCGATTCAAGTTCCATAGTTTAGGCGCTAAACACCGCTGGCCGTTCGGGACTTTAAAATGGCCGCCGCCACGTGTTCAGCAAACGAACAAAGGCCACCCAGCATTCATCAATTAAGCTGCGGTTAATCGCTGCTTCTGGGAGGTCAATTGCCGACACACTCCCAATACAGGTGGTCCAGTCATTCGGTTGTTTGTTCGGTAGATTGAATCTACCGAACACCGGCAGAAAGGCACGAACAAGCCTTTTCTGCAGGGGAAAAGAAGGCTTTTTAACATGGGGCCATAGTCCAAGGGCAACAGACGAGCAACCAGGCTTCTCCAATGCTTCATGGCGAGGTTTCGCCACACCAACTCCATGCTAGCCAGACGTATAAACGCTGCATAGAAACAAAAAAAATCTAAAAAATCTGCACACCAAATGGTACCCTCCTTGACCTCCCAGAACAAGTGGGGGAAATTTTCCAATCATACTACAACGACCTTTATAATCACTCGATCTTGACACAGACTAACCCATAGGGCATCCCAACCTGCACAACAAATTTCCTGAAAACCCTACCAATCACAACCCTATCCACGATGACCAGCCAGAACCCAGCGGAAGAAGCGACGGTAGAGGAAATGACAATCGCCCTCCGCTCTTTTAAGCCCAACAAGAGCCCAGGTCCAGATGTATTCGAAGCTCAATATTACAAGACAACTCACACTGTAACACCTATGCGCTGTATTCAACGCCATGCTCCGCTTAGAAAAACTACCTGCTGACATGGTCACAGAGAACATATGCCTCCTCCCAAAACCCGATAAGCCACATCATGAACCAGGACATATCAGACCAATATCACTTTTAAACGTGGACCTAAAACTCATGACCAAGGTGATGGCCAACAGAATCAACCCCCTCTTGAACTCACTCATTCACCCGGACTAAGTGGGATTCATTCCCAACAGACAATTAATGTATAACACTAGATGGGCCATAGACTTGATGTGGTTCGCTCGTCATATCCCTGGATGCCGAGAAGGCATTCGACTGCCTTCTCTGACCTTTTCTTTTCGTAACACTCACACGATACGGATTCCCTCCCCAATTCCTAGAATTTCTCAAGGCCATCTACCATCTATCACAAGGAGCACTCCTCCTACCCAACATCACCCCCCCAGAGTTACCATCTCCAACGGAATGCGGCAAATATGCCCTCTCTCCCCCCTCCTATTTGCCTTATCCCTAGAACCCTTGCTGGATGTGATATTGTCTGGCCCAGGAGTTGAAGGAATAAACATCAGACTTTGACCAACCTAGCCACCTCTATCTCCAATTTACTACAGCTGATACACACTTACTCAATCATCTCGGGTTACAAGCTCAACTTGTCAAAATCAGAACTTCTGCCAATACACGAGGACAACAGGGACCTCACACAACTCCAGGTGAAATTCCCCCTGTGTATATGCCGGACAGCCATCGCTTACTTAGGCATAAAACTCACCCCATATGTAACAGACCTACACCAAACTAATTATAAGTCAATGTTGTAGACAGTGTACAAAGACCTCAAAACTTGGGAAACCCTGGGAATCTCGTGGATAGGCCATGTTGCCTCCATCAAAATGATCTCCTGCCCAGATTAATGTATGTTTTCCAGGCCCTCCCAGTCCCGTTCCGTAAGATGGATCTCATTTCCCTCCAAAAAGCGATCAATAAATTCATATGGAACGGAACCAAACCCAGAATTCTTGGATAAAACTCTATGCGTCCCCAGAAAATCGGGAGGGCTGGGCCTACCCAATCTCTTACACTACTTGAGTGCAGCCCACTTAGCACAAATTCAGATGTGGCACCTGCCACCTGCCACCTATGAAAAAATGGTGGGTGGACATTGAACATTCAATATTCGGGTGGGATTATCCCTCTTTATATGTGTGGCTCCCATGAAAACATTGACCCCTACCACCCCCAACAGCTCCCACCATCACTCATTCATTCGATCTGTGGGATAAACTACACATCAAGTATGACCTCTCCTCATATCTGTCCCCAAAGACCCCCATACTGCATAACAGAATGTTCCCTCCTGGACTAAACACTAAGCACTATGCTCAATTTGAGAAGAGAGGCATTTCAAGACTTGGTAACCTGTACATCAACGACCGAATCATCACCTACACAGAAATCCCTGACCACGCCTCCTTTTCTACCGTTGATCATTTCCATTACATACAACTCTGCAGCTTTGCAACCACACCTAGCATCCAACAAGCAGGCAAAGTACTCCTCACCAACTTCGAAAGGGACTGCATTGCAGCCCCCACTAAGAAAAGCTAAATATCTCACAATAGCGACACACACACACGTCACATATCTCTCTCCCCTACATCACTGCCTGGAAGGCCGACCTGGGCTCCCCAGACAATGCATCAGACTGGTCAGGATTATGGGAAGCAACATCATTCCTCATCATTTGTGTTACCCACAAGGAACAAGCTTATAAGATGCTTTTCCAATGGTACCTGATGCCCCAAAGACTAGCCATCATGTATGGTATACCTACTAACCTCTGTTGGAAACAATGCGGAGAAGTGGGTACGTTCTACCACTGCTGATGGACATGCCCCATATTAAATCCTACCTGGCAATCCATCACGTCCCTCCTCACACGAATCCTGAATAAACCATGCCCACTAGAACCCTGGGCACTACTGCTCTCCAAACCTCTTGATACCTTTACTAGGTCAGAAAACAAACTAATAGCCCGAATGGCCCTTGCCACGCGTAGAGCAATTGGTGAAGTGTGGTCCACTACACATATTCCCACACTACCAGTGATACACAAGAAAATGCAGGAAACCGTGGAGATGGACAGACTTACAGCACAAATAAATTAAAACTCAAAAACCTTCCACAAAGTATGGGACCCATGACTTGAGGGAGACACATCCTTGCCCTGGTAACCTAACACAAACACACAACAAATCCAACCCAAAAGCTAAATAATATCACATTAACACCTCTTGTCCTTTACGCCTTTTTTCTCACCAAAGCCCCAACCATCCTCCCTCTTTTTTTTCCCCCTTAACCACCTTTCCCTCTCCCCCCCTCTGTAGGGGGGGACGGGGCCTGGTGGCCGGCCCAGCGCTACTGCTCCCCCCCCACTTTAATGGCGAACCCCCTTCCAACCCATCCAATTTCCCCCTCCCCACCAACAGTAAATCCTCACCCTACGACCTCAACACTGGGAATTACCCCATGACCTAACACCTTGACAGCAACAACCCCATGTAAACAGCACAGGGGTATCCCACTGCAGCCAGGGGAAAACCCATCTCAGCCAAAAAACCCTCCTGAATTTAAGACAGAACCACCAAGGGGACCGACCCCGAGAACATCCAGATGCCGACAAGAACGCACCCCCAAACCACACCTCAAGCGATAGGAAAAGAGAGACCCCCACATCCAGGGAAAATAGGTCTTCATCCCCTCCCCCCCTCCAAAACAAAGACTTGACAGACCGACCTACTACTACCCACTGCAAAATTGAAATATAAGGCAGCCGAAGCTGCAACCATGATTAGGTGTACTTATGAACAAATGAAACCTCACGCAATGTCTAAAATGACACCCCTCCCGTGCACAGGCGTGCTGCTCACACTAAGCCTAAACTGTACTGCAACTGTTTATTACTGTATCCTATTTTTTATTTATTTTCTTAATCCTAATCTACCCATGGATAACGTCTCAATTTTTTTTTTTTTTTCTCCTGATACAATCCCACTGAGTGCAGGTGTATAAATTGCACTGAACCCACTAATGTATCATATCATTTGAAATTTAATAAATGTTTGGTTTTTTTCCTCAATGGTTTTACATAAACTTGCTTACGAGATATTGTCAGCATTCA